CGCTGGCTCGGAAACCTGGGCGCCCGGAAGCACAGTGCGGGGTTCGCGCCTGGCCTGGGGGCGGGGGCGGCCTTGTCACCCCTCCCCGAGTGAAACAGACCTTTCCGGTGGGGGAAAGGCTTTCACAGCGGCCCAACGGGTTAACGCGATTGCGTTTTCCTACCACGAAGAGGACAGCTTTTGTCCGTCGCCAGTGTAGACAGCAGATTGGAACAGCCCGGCCCCCTCCCCGGCGCCCCAGGCCGCGCGTCCATGATCCGATTACCGCGGGATGGCCCCGGCGCACAGATGGCTGTGAAAGCGGACGCGCACACCGGGCGAGGGAGGCGGCCCGGTCCCTCAGCCCCTAGAAGCTGATTGCCCAAACCCACTTGAGAAAGGTGGGAGGTGGCTGTCCTCCCGGTCTGGGTGCTGTCCATGTGAGTTCTGCGCCTTGTGTCTGAGCTCCAAACCGTGGGCTCAGTGTTTCTCTGTGCTTGGGAAGTACATTAGCTGTTTGTGGACCAGAACACACATGATTTAGGGTGACGCTAAAAGTAGGACAAGGGCAGGGGTTTAGGCAACAGCGAGTCTTTCCCCAGCTTTCTCGGCCAGGCATAGGCCAGACAAGAAGAAAACAAAAACTCTTCCTCTTTTCTGCCATGTTACTGGCCCCCATCACCTCCTCCCAATCCCCTCCTTTTAAAAGCCTCCCTTTCCATTCACCTCGTCCAGGTTGTCTCTTTTCCCTATGGGTAAATTATTAAGGAAATCTAACATTAGGAAGGCTGCCTTTTCCCAAAACTAAATTTGCCCCCCAAAAAAAAAAATTGTTACAGGAATCTTTTAAATATGCATCTAGTGCATTTAAGATATTGTTTAGAAAAATTCAGAGTATGCATACTTTTTTTTCAGGAGCATTATCTGTTCTGAAAACTAAGACTTAATTGAATTCAGAAAGCAGCCTTAACACTTTTAATCAAAGAGATATTGTCTTCCTACTCTGTAGCTGGCATTGAAGTGATTTCCAATTCTCACTGAAAAGATTTTCTAAGCTTCTTACAGAACCACTTAAATTCCAAGCCAACCGTTTTTAATTTATTAAAAAACATTCATTGACATAAGCATCACACAGCTGGTGAACTGCATTTTAATTAGATAAATCTACACGTAGTGTGTTCACAGTCTGAACTTGGACATAACAGAACCACGGGGGTGAAGTAGGAAGATCATCTTTGATTATTTAAGTTCCATACTTGAGCAAGAGACAGAAAAACCTCAGGGCCACTCCTGTTGTGAGGCTGTGGTTTATAAACATGCTCTGGAGTCTTGCTATGGTGGCTTGGGAGTCAACGTGCTATTCCCAAAAGTATTTTTCCAGGTCCCTTCTGGTGTGACTGAAGCACAACCACATCCGTATAATTACGCCTTGGACCAGAGCTCTCTGTAAGCCTATTTGAAGCACAAGAAAAATAAACAGCCATCTTTGGTCTGCCTGGTATTTAGCTGAGATAAAGATAAGGTATGGCTGCAGGCCTTGACAAGTTCCTTTCAAGAAATGTCACAAGGCCTTTAAAGTTGCCCAGAGAATCTTTCAACTTTTTAGTTGATTTACTGACTTGGGACCACGGGGTCTGAGTGGACAACTCAAGCTGAGACTCCCTCTGGGGAGGCCTTGCAAAATAAGAACTGGGAGTTCATTTCTGAGATGTCTGCAGAATAGTTTGTGTTGATCGGTTTAAGTTGAAGGCCTGAGGTCAAATCTGTGGCAGGAGACATAACTAGATGTCATGGCAGAAAGTGATAAATGCCTTAATTTTTATTTATTTTTATTTTTTAAAGCAAGCATAGAAAGAGGGACAACTTCCAGCAGGGACGGGGAGCAGGGTGGTGTGGAAGACCTCAGAAGGTGAAAGAATTTCAACAAGGGAAAAAGGCACCAGGAAGGCAGCTGCGGAGCTGGAACTGGGAGTTCCCCAGTTTGAAATGGGAGTGCCCCAGTTTGAAATGTGAGCAAGAAGGGGCTGGGCAGGTTGACCAACTGGACTCTGGGAAGCTGAGTAGCAAGGATGGGCGTTCAGCAGGAGAATGGTACTATCCCTGTTGGACTTTGAAGAAATGAATTCTACAGCAGGGTGCAGGAGGGAGAGCTGGACTTTGGAGGCTCAACGGGAAGATGAGAGGTGTTCATGGGAGAGGTGATGGAGTCCCCAACAGGGCAGGGCCTTGCTAATATGAAACAAGACTCATGTGGGAGACACTTTTCTGAAGCAGAAGCTGGAGGAATTACTGAGTCAGGGAAGATGATGAAAAGGGGATCAAAGATAGCTTAAGCTTTTTTATGCAAAATGCAGCCAAGCAAAAAATTAAAAATTACAGTGCTAGCACCTAGAAATAATCACTTTTAATATTTTGGGATATCTTCTGTTAGGTGCAATGTAAGTGCTTTCCATATAGTATCTTATTTAATTGTATAAATTCTCCATGAGATAGATACTCAAAGTCTGTTTTATATTAAAGAATGGGATGCTGAGAGTTGAACTCCCTTAAGGTCACAGACCGTACCAGGTCTGTTTGGTTCCAAAGCCCTATTTAACCATTGCAGTCTGCTGTCTGTGCACACGCACGCACTCACACACGCACACACACACATACATACAACACATTGATCATGTATATTTTGGTTTGCTTTTTGGGCCGCACATTGCAAATATTTTCCCAATCAAGATATAATGACTTCAGTGAGTGTGTCGTATACCACTGTATGACAGTAAGCAGGGTTTTGAAGCTTAATAATCACTGGTGAAGTGGGGTTCATTGTAGCATTTGGGGAGTCAGGAGGAGTGGTTGCTTTAGGGAGGAAAGTAATTTGTCATCACATCAGCTGAAAAGCATGTTAAACATTTCAGAATGTGGAGCTGGAAGCTGGAAGAGAGGTTTTGGACTGGAGATAACTGGTGGAAGAGATGGTTGGAGCTGAGGGAGTAATACAGTCTCAATGGGAGGAGAGGCCATTAGGATGCCGAGGGTTGAACCTGGGAGAGCTGGAGTCCAGGAGTGAGAAGCGTCTGTCCCATGACTGCTGGTGCCCTCCTCTGCTTGGAGAGTTGTGGTTTCAGCTCCAAGTTTCAACACCTCCTGTTCTAGTAACCCTTGTGAAATTCTGCACTACTCGTAAGTCCTCGTCCCCCCCCCCAGAAGGGCCCATTTGGAAAGCTTCAAGGGTCACACAGATAGTTACTGCTCTATACACCAAAAAAGTCCCTTTGAAAAAGTTGATGATGATTATTTTTACATCAGAGAATATTTTTAGATCATGTTTAAGAGATGATTACTGGGTGTATGTTAGATAGAAAGTGCTGTGGACGCTTTAAGGGTGAATAGGAAATATCTAGATGTTAAGGGGCTTATCACACCTGGTAGATGTGGGCGTCTTTACAGAAAAAGAATTGCTTTAGTTTGGACTAGTTTTCATTTTTCATGACCAAAGACTGTATATTAGTAATAGAAACTTAGTCTGAACTAGCTTTTGCAAAAGGAGAATCTTGTAGGCTGGATGTATACAGAGACAGACTAGAACCAGGGCTTATGGGGAACCCAGGAAGTCCACTGAGGTCTTCTCTTCCCCTCCTCCTCTGTTTTGTTTCTTTCCTCCATTTTGGAACCTGGCCGCTAACAGTGGCCCCCCTCAATTTTGGCCATGCTGCTTAGTTGCAGTTTGCAAATACTGTGGAAGGATGCCAGTTGGCCTAGCTTGGGTGGCCTGGCCAGCCTGGGCCAGCCAACAGTGACAAGGACAGGATTGTATTTTAATAAGATGGTGTGAGCATGTGGATGGAATCAGACACTGGGGATTCTCTAAAGAAAGGACAGTTTGCAAAAATGGAGCAAGGGGTAATGTAGTAGATATCTACTGCAGACCCCCTTCTATTTAAAAATACTTTGCCCTCAAGGGTCCCACAATTTGAAAGATTTTTTTTATCTGCTAAACTGATGGCTAGCTTGGCTAACTAGATCTTGGTTGGCCTTTAAAATATTTGCATGTGGTTGAATGATGTCCTTGACTGGGTGTCAGCTGGGACCCCTGGCACACACCAGTCCTTATATAGATTTCTACATAGACTGCCCTTCCCAGCACCTGTGCGAGGTTAGATCATCAGCCTTACAGGTAACCAGAAGTCACACTAGAGTGTAGAGACACAAAGACCCTCAGCCCTAGGGGCAGGAGAGCTTTGAGGAACTGGGGATTCGTGGGTTCAGCTGCTCCCATGGTCAGCAGCAAGGTCTAGTAGCTTTGATTTGGAATCTCTTTGCTTCATTTTTTTTCTTTAAACTATCAGTTATTTTGGTCTCCCACCTGTGCAGAGTGGGAAGTCATCCACACAAAACTTTTGAATTCCCAAATTGCAATGCTGTGTAAAGAATTGAACCTAAGAAAAAAAGAAGTTGAATTTGTGAAACCAGTAACAATTAGCTTTCCTACATTTTAGTTGAAACAACTAAATGCCTAATGAGTTTGTCCAGTGAACTGGATTCCAGCTCATTAGCTGGAATAGCTGACACCCCAGTGGCGTACAGTCCTTATCCTTAATGTGAAACCAGTGTCTTATAAAGGAAGTTTCAGTCTTTAAGAGGCTGTGATTGAGTCAGGCTACGAAGTGCCATTTGGAATAAGAGGATTCGCTCCCAGTGCAGCATTCTTGATTGGCGTTGGTCAGAGGAGACTGGGGATGTCCAGCGGCCTTTAATACTGTCTGTTTTCACTGGTCTTTCCACTAGCATAGTCTAGCACAACGATCCCCGAAGGATGGACTGCCAGCTCCAGAATCTCCTAGGCTGCTGGCCCAAATGCAGATTTCAGGGGCACATTCTAGTGGAATCAGAAGCTGAGAGAAGGAATCTGCCTTTTTTTTTTTTGAGACAGAGTTTCGTTTTGTTGCCCAGGCTGGAGGGCTGGAGTACAATGACGCGATCTCGGCTCACTGCAACCTCTGCCTCCCGAGTTCAAGTGATTCTCCTACCTTAGCCTCCTGAGTAGCTGGGATTACAGACACACGGCACCACACCCAGCTCTTTTTGAATTTTTAGTGGAGATGGGGTTTCTCCATGTTGGTGAGGCTGGTCTCGAACTCCTGACCTCAGGTGGTCTGCCCGCCTCAGCCTCCCAAAGTGCTGGGATTACAGGCGTGAGCCACTGTGCTTGGCAGGAATCCACATTTTTAGCAAGCCCTTTGAGACTAGAGAAGCACATGAATCAGGGATCAAAAGCTCGAATTTGGTGTTAATAAACTGTGTGATATAATTCTGATAAGCCACTTCACTTTTTTGGGCTAAAATC